GTCTCCCCTGGGCAGTGCATCACAGACAACTCCCGCAGAAAGGGCTACACCTCCTCGCAGAACCTGCCCAACAGTGTGCTGCGTCAAGACAACTCCCGCAGAAAGGGCTACACCTCCTCGCAGAACCTGCCCAACAGTGTCCTGAGCTTCGTCAAGCTGCACCCGCTCATGTTTGAGGAGGTGAAGCCAGATGGCGGGGAGCCGCTCCTGGTGAAGAAGAGTGTGGCGTACAGCCAGCTGGCCGTGGACAGGGTGCAGGCCCTGGATTGCCACTCCTATGATGTGCTCTTCATGGGGACGGGTGAGTGGGATGAGTTTGCTGGATCCCTACTGGGCAAGGGACACGCTCCAGATTCCCTCCTGAACTCCCTGCTCTGCTTTCCAGGGGATGGCTGGATCCACAAGGCTGTAGTAGTGGGCTCTAGCATTCACATCGTGGAGGAGGTGCAGGTGTTCAGGGATCTGCAGCCTGTGGAGAGCCTGGTGATCTCCCACGCCCAGGTGAGGGGTGGAAGAAGTAGGAGGACACCACATCCACAGATCATGCTTGTACTGCAAACCTGCCATTGGGCTGTCTGGGAGACTGGGGGGAACATGACTTCTGGGTTACCCCAGTTCAGCATATGTGCTGGAGCCCAGCAGGGCAGCCTGGGGAAAGGGACCAGCCTGGCCCCCACCTCCTTGCCGGCTGCACACATTGGCACGGGCTGGGAGCAGGGGGCCCTTCCTCATGCACCCCTGTCCAAGGGAGAGCTGTGGCATGGGGCTGGGGGGATCTCTGGGCAACATGGGGCACCCCACAGCCCAGCAGCACCATGCCAGATCAGTGCTGAGCCAACCCTTTCCCCCTCAGAGGAGCCTGTACGTGGGGGCAGCCAGTGGGATTGTGCAGGTGCCCCTGGCCTCCTGTGCCAGGTACACCTCCTGCTACGACTGCATCCTTGCCCGGGACCCCTACTGCGCCTGGGATGGCAGGACCTGCCGCGCCACCACCACCGCCATGGACAGGTAGGGATGGGCTGCCTGTCCAGGCAGGGTCCCCAAGAATCTTCCACCTCCCCCTTCCCATGCTATTGCCTGTCACCTCATGGCACAGTCACCCCAGACCCACCCCCAAAGGTCTGGCATCTGGTGGCACATCTCCTGGTGGCTATGACCATGTAAGGGTGGCCTCAGCCAAGGCTGTATGGCTGAAGCCCCCCATGCCTTACAGCACAGGCTTGGTGCAGGACATTCAGACTGGCAAAAGGGGATGCTGGAGCAGTTCCGGGCGGGGTGAGTGCCTGTTGCTCCTTGGGCCCAGTGGGGTGCTGGTGTCTGGCATCCCTTTGGGGTGGCTGGGACAGGTGCGAGGTGGTGCATGTCCCCACAGCCTCCTTGCCATGGAAGAACCGGACGGTGCTGCAGGGGGATGATGTGCTGCTGCCCTGCGACCAGCGCTCCAACCTGGCCCGAGCCGTGTGGCTGCTGAACGGCAGTGAGGTGCTGGGGGCGGGGCAGGACCGGCTGCGTGTGGGGGTGGACGGGCTGCTGGTGACGGACACGCTGCCCCAGCACAGTGGCGAGTACCGCTGCTACGGGGAGGAGCGCGGTCTGCAGACACTGCTGGCTGCCTACAGCCTCACCGTGCTGCCCCGCAGCCCTACAGGTGCCCCCTCACCCCGTGCTGCCAGCCAAGCAGCCAGCGACATGAAGGTGGCTTACATCGCTGCCATTGTCACTTTGGTGGTGCACTGCACTGTGCTCAGCACTGTCCTCCTCTACATGACCTGCCTGGAGAAGCGCAAGGTCAAGTACGTGCTGGGGGAGCCACATCCAGCCAGCATGGAGCTGCAGACTGTCTCGGCCAACTGCCTGCGCAAGGGCCACCGGGAGGAGGAGGAGGAGGAACTCGCCTACCCTGATGGCTGCCTGCGGATCATCCCTGGCAAGGTGCCCACGGCTGCCACCTCCCCGGTTAAGGAGCTGCCGGTTGCTGTGCCCCCAGTGCCACCCCCGCTGCCGGCTGAGCTCACCAACGGTGTGGGGGATCTGCCCAACGTCCTCCGCAAGATGAATGGCAACAGTTATATGCTGCTGCAGCAGCAGGAGGAGCCGCTGACCTCCCCACTGTACAGCGCATCCTTCACTGAGGAGCTCAGCAAGATTCTGGAGAAGCGGAAACACACGCAGCTGGTGGAGAAGGTCATCCCTGGCAAGGGGCCCCCGCCCCCCCCCGCCCCGGTTAGGGAGCTGCCGGTTGCTGTGCCCCCAGTGCCACCCCCGCTGCCGGCTGAGCTCACCAGCGGTGTGGGGGCTCTGCCCAACGTCCTCCGCAAGACGAACGGCAACAGTTACATGCTGCTGCAGAAGCAGGAGGGGCCGCAGACCTCCCCACTGTACAGCGCACCCTTCACTGAGGAGCTCAGCAAGATTCTGGAGAAGCGGAAACACGCAGCTGGTGGAGAAACTGGATGAGAGCTCAGTGTAGGGGCTGGGGAAGGGGGTCCTGCCAGCGGGACCCTCCTCCCCTCTAGCCCCTTCTCCCACCCCTTGTGAAACTGGATGAGAGCTCAGTGTAGGGGGTGGGGAAGGGCGTCCTGCCAGCAGTATTAAAGATTCAGACAA